TTGAGTAAAAGTAGAAGTACTCAGATCTTATACTTGAGTAAAAGTAGAAGTACTCAGATCTGGTACTTGAGTAAAATAAAGTACTCAGATCTTGTACTTGAGTAAAAGTAGAAGTACTCAGATCTTGTACTTGAGTAAAAGTAGAAGTACTCAGATCTGGTACTTGAGTAAAAGTAGAATTACTCAGATCTTGTACTTGAGTAAAAGTAGAAGTACCAGAGTGTAGGACTACTCTGTTACAAGTAAAAGTCCTGCATTTAATATGTTACTCAAGTAAAAGTACAAAAGTATTAGCATCAAAATATAATTATAGTACCAAAAGTAAAAGTACTCATTCTGCAGATTGGTCCATTTCAGAATAATACATATGATATGTTTTGATGTATGTGATATTGTACATTCTTATTGGAGTGTTGATTATATTTCACATCAATCCAAAGTAGAAATACAAAGTGACAAAACATTTAAATACTCAAGAAAAGTGCCTCAAAGTGTACTTAAGGAAATCTACTTAGTTACTTTACTCCACTGGAAAGGAAGAAGCAGGTTATGATAGAGTGGAGTCCAGCCGACCCCACGATGTGTTATATCTGCGCGATGGGTTTAATATGAACATTACATTTCTGAGACCTAAGGGGAGTTTGTTATGACGGTGTTTAAAAGAGATGAAGTATGAGGGGCGGATGAAAGCAGGGTCACTCTGAGGAGTACCGTGCTAATGTTGTGCTGATTGCGTTTAACCCTCTCCATCTCAGGGGTCTCTGATACTGACGTGCCTTGTTCCACTCCTGTTTTGTATTGAATCTTTGAAATGAGACACAGAAAGAGTCACATGTGGTGGCAAGTGACACACTCAAAGGCAGGGTTAGTGTTACATGTAGGAGCAAATACTGGATGTTAACATCAAAAAACTCCAGGGAAAGGATTTATTTAGGGGAGAAATGGTGGGAAATTATGTTTTTGTCTTCAACCGAAGTTGGCAGACATAAGGAGTGAGATGGAGGAGGGGAAACCAGACTTTTAGACTAGATGAGGGGGTTTCAGGGGAAAGGTAAGGGGTTGAAGTCCTTCTCCTCTACCAAGCTGATATTCTTCTGGGTTTCTCGGACCCGCTTCACCTCGGGCAGATCAGGAATGGACGTGCCTTGACCCAAAGAGTCCTTGTACTGAATCTGCCCATTGCAAAAGTTACACAGACACAATGTAAGACAGGGACAAACAAACACAACAAACAAAACACATCTGACATCACATAAAATATGAGAACACATAGAAAGTCACATAATGGTGGCAGCACACTCAAAGGAAGACGAGATTTTACTTTAAGGAGGAGGAAATGCCACAAAAACAGGATTTCAAATAGAAAAATCCACAGAAATGCAGATTTATTTAGGAAGAAATGGGAGAGGGGGCAAAATGGTTTTTATGGAGATATGAACTCAAGATAATGTCTTCAATCAAAGTTGGTAAGAATGAGGGATTTATCAAACTTAGTAAAGACGGAGGAGGGGAAAGTAGGACTAAAGAAAGGGGGAAGGTAGAGTTTTCTAGACTTGTCGACATCTGAAGAGGTCAGAGGGGGTTTTGGGGAATTAATTTAAGGGGATAAGATAAGGGCTGTTGAAGTTCTTCGGGGTTTCTCGGACAGATCAGGAATGGACGTGCCTTGACCCAAAGAGTCCTTGTACTAAATCTGCCCATTGCAAAAGTTACAGACGGAGACAAACAAACACAACAGGTCTGACGTCTAAAAGAGCTGAGGAGAGTTGTTATGGTGTCTGAGGGAGATAAAGGGTGAGGAAGAGGGGGAAGCAGGGACACTCTGAGGAGTACCGTGCTAATGTTGTGCTGATTGCGTTTAACCCTCTCCATCTCGGGGGTCTCTGATACTGACGTGCCTTGTTCCACTCCTGTTTTGTATTGAATCTTTAAAAAGGAGACAGAGAAAGAGTCACATGTGGTGGCAACACACTCAAAGGGAGGTTAGGTTTGACTTTAAGGAGGAGGAAATGCCACAAAATCAGGAATTAAAATACAAAAATCCAGGGAGATGAAGATTTGTTTAGGAAGAAAAGGGGAAGGGGCATTGTGTTTTTGAGGAAATATGAATTCAAGATACATAAAGTCAGTAAGTGGAGGGATTTATGGAATCTAGTTAGGATGGAGGAGGGGAGACTAGGATTACAAACCGTGTACGGTAACGTTTTCTAGACTTTTAGACTGTTCTATGAGAGGTCAGGGGGGGTTTTGAGGAATGATTTTAAGGGGATAAGATAAGCGTCGTTGAAGTCCTTCTCCTATATACCAAGCTGATATTCTTCTGGGTTTCTCGGACCCTCTTCACCTCGGGCAGATCAGGAATGGACGTGCCTTGACCCAAAGAGTCCTTGTACTGAATCTGCCCATTGCAAAAGTGACACAGAGTAAGACAGAGACAAACAAAAGCACAGCACGGTAGACAGAACACACTCTGACGAAAACATAGTATGTTTGGGTGGTAGTTGGGTTGGTTGGTAATAAGAAGGATTGTGAAATATATAAGTTCTGCTTTCAAAATGGATGGTACTTCATTTAGTTTATTACTTGCAATGAATTATCGTGAGTAAGTAAATCCTACAGAGCCCTCAAAGTCCCGACTCAAATGTGTCATGATGAATAACCATAAATATAGTCCCATATTCTATAGAAATAGGGTCCTAGCACAAACGATGAACGACCCCAAAAGCAAACCAATGGACACAAAGTACTGTACTTGGACAGGTGTGTAAAAAGACGAGTATCTTCATCAATGTGTTTTTACAAAATGAATAACTCGCAATAAACCTTTGGGTGATATTTAGCATATTAATGATCACTTTACGGCAAAAATACGTGTTTCTTGAGGTCCACAGTGACGTAGTAATAATCTTAACTAGATCATCCTTGAATCGAACGTTTGTTTACGGAAAAATACAATTCAAATATAATATTTATAGTGCCTTCGTCTACAGTTACCACCGGTGCAGAGGCA